TCGGCATTCGACAAACAACAGTAACAAACAACACGTACATACGTGCGTACGTACGAAAAAGAAGCAACTGGAAAAGTCAACATGATATTGAATAATTCATATACTAAAGTTTAAAAATCACTGATCGTGTTTTCTACAAGTTCCTGTTGTTAAATAACATAGATCTAATCAGAATCTGAATCATCAAGGAAGGCAAGACGTCTTTTTTTGGTCTGTTTCGAGGCACTCGAGCAATCATCAGAACCAAAGTTGAAGTTAAATGTGCAGTCATCGATCCTCGCACCCGAGAACAGTCCGGTTGTTTTGGACACTGTTTCGGTTGAATTAAGCCACGCAGAGTTGCTTGTTTGGCTGTGAGAAACGGACCGAACTTCCAATGTTTGCAACGGGCTTGATGCACTAGATGTTGGCCGATCAGAGGCAGAGCAACTCAGGATTCTTGACATTTGTCGTTGGTGTGTGACCGAAGCCGTCTTGTAAGCGTCGAGACTTTTTAGATTTTTATGCCCGCTCAACTGTGCTACAAAATTTGTGGGAACATCAGCGTCCATAAGACGAGAAATACAAGCTTTTCGCACGGAGTGGTTGGTTATCTTTCCCGAGAGACCTGCAGCTTTCGCAGCTTTCATAAGAAACATCCCAATGGAGTTCTTCCCAAGTGGACCTTTGGTGTACCAAACCTGCGAGTCTGCCTTTCTCTTATGATTAACTGTGAGGAAAAACGGAGAGTCTGGGGTTTTGGAGGTATCTGGGCGATGACTGGCGAAGACTTTGTACAAATTAACAGGGCAACGACGGTTATTTGTTGCTTGTGCTGTTGGATAAAATGCCCTTTGGTGTCCTTCTCCATGCCGTGTTTTCGAGCCCCGCTCGGCTTTCCATACGAGGATTTATTGGCCAGATTCTTGATCAAATCCCAATTCAACATCTCCCCACTTTAATTTCCTGGACTCGTCTCGTGCTCTAAAGCCAAAATGTAATGACAGCGTCCACCAGACAGTTCGTTGAAGGGTCTCAGGTTCGTGGTCTCCGAACAAGCCTTTGTCAAACAACAACTCTTCTTCCTCCTCGGTTAGAGCTCTGCATGCTTGTGGACGGTTTCCTTTCGCGTGGGTTTCAACTAACTGTCTCTTTCTGGCAAGAAGAACATCTCTGGATTTGGCAAATTCTACATCTTTAAAAATGTTCAATGTCGAGTTAGAAAAGTTCAGATGTCGTTGAATACTGCGTTGAAAGGAAGTTAAAGATGAAGGTTCATAGACGCTGCCGTCTTTCTTCGTAATTGTCATGAAAAACTTACAAAGGAGCAAGTTAAGTTCGTTTGAAGGTATTTCATTTAGTTTACGTCCTTCATTTCTAGATAAGCAAAAACGCTGCCAAATATTTAGGTCATACGTGGTTTTCTTAGTGGTATTTTCCGGGCGTTGCTGCTCGATAAACGAGTCAATTTCAGCCATGTCGGTCAAATTTCGTTGCCGGTTGTTTAAAGGCACGCTAAAACTGCTTGGTGCATAATTTTCGTTGTTGCTATCGTCGTTTAAGTCTTCAGGGTAATAACACCCACTTTCGCTTCCACTATCATCATAAAACTCCTCCATAGTTTGCTTATTTACATTATTTCAAAGTAATTATTAAAAAAAGAAGTTTTTGTGATTTTAATTTGTTTACATTTTTCAGAGCGGGCAGTTGCATTTCACAGCGGGCAGTTGCGTTTCAGAGCGGGCCGGATGCAAAAAACCGGCCCGCTCTGAAAGGCCCCTCAGCCAATCAGATTGCTTCATTTTCACTGATAAAAAATAAATGGATTTATGTTCTCGTGTCAAAAACAATATCTCACTCGTTCGCTGCGCGAACTCGTGAGACATTGTTTTTGGCACTCGAACATAAAATCCACATCTCTTCGCAACTGTCTAATATCCTCTATATATATGAAACAAGCATGGAATGAGGTGAATCGCAGACTCTGTTATATCACAGGTGTGTCTACCTGCCCATATACATATCATAACTGTTTCTCCAGTTGAGTTCTCGTCACAATCATCGTTCTATATTCACAAAGGAAACACGCCTCTTCTTCTAAAGTCAAATCTAAATGAGATTCTTCACCTTCACCTTGGAATGCCGGACTGATTTCTCTCAATGCATTTTGGACTTCCTCTGAATCGTCACTGTCTGACTCCGCATGACTTGGACCACCTGGGAGAAAACAAACATTACCTAGTGTTGGTTAGTCATATATAGTTCCTAAATTTCGTTATATCCTCATGTCTCGCGCAAAGTACGGTTGGGGATAGGGTTGTGACTGAGGCCAAGTTCAAAGTATAGAATATGACCGTGCCCGAACAACGAGGATATTCCCCTTCCTGTCATGATGGTATCAGATCGGATTAAGGTGGTACCATAGCTCCCAGAACAATCCCCAATGGAAATTTAGCAAAGGAAAAGTTGACGTTGAGCGTAAATCAATAAAGTGCTGTAAGATGCGATGGGCGCCGGCCAATTGTGAGAACACTGCGTACGAAACGTTGTGAGAGGTAATGATACTTGGAAAGTTTTCAAGAATTTAGCAACCAGATTAAGAAGCTGTATATACCTTCGTTTGGAACATTATCAACTGTAACATCCTCTACTTGACACTCAGGGGGGAGTAATCCGCCGGTTTCCAGCAATCGTTCAATGGCTTTAGTGACATCCCCATAATGCTTCAACACTGAGCGAGAAACATCAACATCAAACCCCATTAATGTAACCTAATCAAGAAATAAATAACGGGTAAAATATAGTACCAATCCGTTCAGCTCATGGACGTGTTTTCTTAACATATTGATTTGTATTAAACAATAAAAATTCCGATTTGTGGGCTCAAACATCACTCATTAGGCCATTATATATACGCATTCAGATTACATCGCAGATTGCCAAAATTGAACACTCAGTTTGTAAGAGACGCAAAAGGCAGATTACAAGAAGCACCTTGGGAAAAATTGTTTGACTATATAGACCCCTTGCAACTATCAACCCAAAGCCAAAATGAAACCTACTGGCATTTTACATTCTGGACTAATTGAAGATTATTTCACTTAGTTTCAAAACAACACATGCAAGCAATACTGTCAATGAATAAACCCATGCATGCACCACAACAAATAATACAAAGACTTACTTGGGCTATCAGCTCATCAGAAATCTCCAGAGAGCTAGAGAAAAAATATTAAACCCAATGACCAAAACTCAATAATAATAATAGAAATGTTGAGAACACAACGTCATTTAAATGCATGCAGTGAAATTATATGAATTGGCTTAAAACCAAAAGAAAAATACAACTACGTATAATTATTAAAGAAAAATTGTTTGATATACCTTTCTGGAGCAGCAAACTGTAACAATTCAGGTCTTTCATTAAGTATCTACAATATTTTCAAAATAATTAACAAAGTTAGTAAACAAAGAAAAAAATCAAATCAAGTTCCAAAATTTCATTTCATTGTCCCTAAAACATCATTAATTATAATGACATTAAAAAGCGGACATGTTGAATCGACCTTGTTCATGCCTTGCTAAGCCGTTTGACATTCATTAAAGTTGTCAATGTTTGAAAAGTTTAATGTGACTTGTCACTGATGTCAAACGCCTTCTTTTCAGCCCTGTGGTACTTGAATTTCCTGATACATGGCCTTGAAAATCTTTAAAAGGTCCTTGAATCTTACTTTTCCTAACTTGTATACTTAATTATCACATATAGTATTAATTTCCTTACCCCTATTAGAAAAGTGCATCCAGGTCAGGTGGAATGAAGCGTTCATACGAGAAAGTGTATCCAGCTTAACTGAAATCGAGGCTGGCTCGTGTGCATTAAGTCCTAATTTGTGAGCTCTTCCGAAAGCTTCCTGTTGACCTAATCTAACGATGATTTTGTGCCACAGTACCTGAAGAGCTGAATTCACATCATTATTTGTTTGACGAAGAGCTTCCCTTGCGGACACACTTGGATATCCCATTTCACACAAATTGTTATAAATATCAACACTAACCCTTAAAAACAGAATTAATATATATTCAATAGCTATATGTATAGTGTTATCTCAAACTCATTAATAATTCATGAGTAAATCACCCAACCATATTGCTTTATTTTGCTCACATGGTAATACTGGATACCCGATGAAATATATTGATCCAGTCCTAGGCCTGGATCAAAATTAATTCAGTCTCTGGACTGGATCAAAATGAATTAAGTAGTTTATTTATTCGTATGAAATGTCACTTCAAATTCTCCAATTCGGATTGCGCGGACTTGAAATATAGTCCAGTCCTCATAGTCAGATTTGAAATATTACGCAATTGCCCATGCGGACGAAATAGCTTATTGCGCACGGTGCAATCCTGCAGCGAATATGCATAGTATAACCAGTGTTACATGACAAGCAATATCATGTAATTTTGCATATATTAAATATTATTATACAATATACTTATATTCGTATTAAATAGGGCTAAAAAAAAAATATGTGGGTTTCCGGTTTCCCGACCCTACCTAGCTTTTGGATGCCAAAATCCCGACCCTAAACTTTTTTATTGGATCACGCAGTGATCACGCTTGTAAGTGTTTCCACTTAGAGGAAAACGTTTGTGGAAAATGAAAATTTGAAGCAATATTAGGGAAATTTATGTTTGGATATGGAAGCACTGACTAAACAAAATGGCGTCCGGATGCCAGGAAAATTAAAAAAGCTAGCTTACATGCATGAGTAACCAAATAGTTTTAAAGATTAAGATGTCCCACAACTAACGTAGCGGACATGACTCGGTTTGGCGTTGGTCAATTTGTGGTTTACTAAAACTTGCTTCAACGAACTGTATTGCGTAGGGGAAATGAGTCGTAGTTTTGTAGTTTCTTCCTCTAGCAGAGTATATAAAAGCCTGAGTACAACTAGACAATTCGTGCAGCTCACTGCAGCTGTTTGGCAATTATGTGTGAGTGCTTCTTCGTGTAATGGGCCCTATACACGACGTCTTCGTCGTCTTAAGCCTGCCGCACACGAGAGCTATCTGCTGAGCAAAAAGTTACTCGTGCCTGTTAGCTCAGCCGATAGCTCACCGTGTGCGGGTACATTTTACTGAGTTTTTTGCCTCATGCAACCTTTTCTCACGTATCAAACATGTTTGATCGGTGAGCTATCGGCTGAGCTAACAGGCACGAGTAACTTTTTGCTCAGCAGATAGCTCTCGTGTGCGGCAGGCTTTATAAAAATCCTGTGCAAAAATGTATTCTGTTTTCGCTAAAAACCCAAAGGGTTAGCATTTGAAGAGTTTTATATTGTCAGAAAACATTCACAGGGAAGATAGCGATTGAAAATCCGAGGTAAACGTTTCTCTTCATTATTGTTTTACTGAAAGAAGTTGTTCACTCCTATACAATACGATACCCCAGGGCATAGTTAACTTTATTAACTACTTTTTAACTGCAGTTAACGCTAACTACATTTTTATACAACCGACTTGACTACTTGGTTAAAGTTAACCACTATTTAACTACAAAACGGATAGTTAAAAAAAATTTATACAACCGGCCCCAGGTCACAGATTAAGTATGAACAGATGTGTAGCTTCAGTCAAAAAGTTGTCCCACGGTCGCCAACTTCCTAGCAAGTGTCGCTCGCGTGGAAATTCGTCATTTAGTAAAATTTAATATTACCACAGAGTAGATAAGACATACAGAGACGTAACTGACCGTTGTAAACACTGCGGAAGATTACGTTATCATGTCCCCACTTTTTTTCAGGCGATCGGGCGAAAAATGATCAACTGCGCGTGCTCAGCAAGTTTAAAGTGAGTCGTCATCAGGTCGTCATCCAATCAGATGCATGCATCTAGTAACTTGCCGAGTTGAAGACAAAACAATGCGTACTTCAGTCAAAAGGGATTGCCATTGTGATAGAAATGGACAACTACCGTTGAGAAGTCCCTTTTTGATATACTAAATGAACTGGATAACTTACTTACGACTTTTCTCGCTCTTGGCGTACACCGAGCTCACTTGCCTACAAAATAATGCCATGGCCTTGCCATATTTTATGCAGACCAGTGTCAGTGCTTAGGCGTTAAGTATTCTGGCTTTTTTACATCTTTTATTCTATTATATGCGTTGAAAAAATCAATAAAACTTTCACTATTAGTTGTTAAAAGAAACAATGACTTCCCTTCAAAGCCAAACACATTTACATATAAATAGACAACAAAACCCCGAAAGTCGAAAAAATTTTGTTCGCTCGCCAGTAATCCTTTGATCAGCCAATCAAATCTTGCGAGAAAATGTTCTTAAAATTGTTTTGAGTGAAGTGCAAAGTCAACGAAAAAATATTCGGACAATGTATAAAATAAAACTAAATCAACGTACTGAAACAAGAAAACAGAACTCATAGTTTGCTATCGCCTTAAATCCAGGCAAAAATCTTTTAAAGAAATATCGATAAGTAGTTAGGCCAAAACTGCAAACATAAACATGAACAAAAAACTTTTATTGCAAGTTGATAGTTCAAAGGTTAGTGCATGGAATTCAGAAGTTATACGACGATACTACAACAAAAGTTTAGAA